TAGAAATGTTAAGGGGGATAGCAAAATTAATATGCTAGAAATGTTAAGGGGGAGATTTTCACAAGCTGTCACTTTGGAACAGCAAAGAAAGTGACAGCAAACTCTTTATAGTGGTTGATAAGGTTCTAAGTTTGGAAATTTTAGCACCAAAATCAATGCTGAGGTGTGAAAAAGGAGACAAGGGCAAGGAAAAGTTGTTCTGTTTTTCCAGATTCCGGGCGTTCAAATTTGCAGAAATCAATCAAAATAGTGTCATCCCACGAATCATTACCATACCCAACCAACTTTAAGATATTGTTGTTGGACTTTTAAGATTAACATACGTATCATTTAATATATTAAGATCTAATAAAATAAATATATTATATATTTAAATTTTTATAATTAATATATTATTTAAAAATTTTTAGAGGTCTTTAAAAATCATGAATTTCATTATAAAATTTATAAAATAAATATAATTAGTATTAAAATTTAAGTCTTTCTTTCTTTAATCAACTTATGTACAATGATAATCAATGAATCATAACACTTTTTAACTCTCATATTTATAAAGGTAAAATTTTTTAAATAAAAAAAAATTTAACCCATTATAATAATCTTTTGACCAGAGAGAGCGAGTACCCCTACCACTGCCCTTTCCTCAATCCTTATTCGGAACAAAATTCATCGCTGTGTATTTTTGGGTCAATCAAGTTAGGGTTTTTTTTTTTTTATTTGATAAAAAAAAAGGGCGAGAAGAAACAAATGCAGTATAATCACCAAAAATCTCCTTCTTAGATACTATAATTTGTTGAATGCATTTCCAAAGCTGAGAAAGTTTAAAACAAACCATTAACATTATAATCAATTTGAACAATGTTACAGTTTTAATGGTACAAGCACACAGAATAGATGCTGCAGTGCAGCTTTCTCCCAGCCAATGAAGCAGGCATGAGGGACTCCCAGAGGATCACTTTGCCTGTCCACTCGGAACCATATCCTGCAGTATATAAGAAGAAAAATATGGTTAATGATTTTTCAGCAGAGGGATCAGAAACAAAAGATTACAGTATCATCAGCAGACAGCGAAAAGTAATCACCACCCAGTGTCTGTAGTCCTGGCTGAGTATTTAGATTACTTGGATAACAGGTATTGAGTTCCAAGGTTAGTGAGAGGGAAGAGAATTGAGCATCAAAAAGGAGATGTTGGTTTTGCGATGAAAATGAAGCTCATTGAGCACAAATTTCTTAGCCATTATATACCAAGGTTTTAAAAGTGAGGGGAGAAATGAAAGAGAATAAAAAGGATGCAGGGTAAATTTATGAACTTCTTTGAAATTCAGAGAGGGATGAAGGTGCATACCACTTTAAACTACAATTGCAAATCAATCTTGTTGGACCATTTGAAGATATCAGAATAAACTTGATCACCTCCCAAATCTTCTCCCGAAGCTCCAGCTGCTACCCTTATAATATCCTCAATTAATGCAAAGTTTCCCATCATATCAACATGAGCACCGCTTTGGGTGCCACGTCCCTCCAGCAGATTGGCTGGAGGGGAATGACTGTACTCTCTAATGTATGTCCGAATTCCAGAAGGATTGAATCTGGTTTTGCCACGCCAACCTTTAGCACACATGAAGCCTGAGCTAAGAACAGGAACAGTCTCATCCCCATCAACAGAATAGACTCCATCTCTCAGGCAGCTATTGTCATCATCAGCTGAAGTATCAATCTGGAATGGAATATAGCACTCTCCACCAGGAGATAACTTGTAAACATAAGCTCTTTCCGTTGGTATGCCGACTCCATAAAGAGAAAAGATTTCCATTTCTGGAGCATTTGGTAGCCTAAATAGCAGAGAGATAGGAATGGTTATTTTAAATGAAAAGTTAAGTAAGGAGTGTGTTATGTCAGACAAATTGCAGAAGTCATTAACTAAAACAAGTAACTTAACAAAAATGAAAAAACAACTTGACCAACAGGAGGCCCACCGCAGCTATGAACTTTTGAATAGGAAAGGAAATCTAACAGAATGTGTTCATTAAAACAAAGCCATGTCAAAGTAAAACACTCCATTAATAACTGCAATAAGGAGTTGCACTCTCAAAGAAAGTGTCAGTAGATAAAATTACGTATGACTTTTCTTTTCGTCACATTGTATAATATTAGTTAACCACAAAAAGATATGAAGCTAATTCCCTTCATACAGTACATATAATTTGTCATCTAAAAATGATCAATCTTCCACCTGCTGCAAACACCATAGCTATTCAAATACTCAAAATTTTTTCACAGGATCTACTCTGGCACTGTTTTATGTTCTAAATATATATAAATCATAAACTTAACAAAGCTTTATTTACAATTGAAGGCTATGCTGGTGCTGACCAATAGATTCAGTTTAAATATGAGCCTGGCAGAATACGACGAATAATTAAGCTTAACAGATTAAGTGTTATATCTTTTTATGTATAAATAAAAATTTAACAGATTAAGCTTTATATTACATATTAAGGCTACTCTGATATTTACCTATAGATTCAGTTTAAAGATGAGCTTGCTAGAATGTAATGTATAATTATAGAAATTGACTACTACCGAATAACTGCATTATGACACTGGTAAGAAAATGAAAATCAAAATCCCAGCTGAGAAGAATTAAATGAAATAATGAAAATGTAAGATTCTCACTTTATCTCCAAGGGGTTTGACCAATATTTGTAATGTTGATACTTAGGGTCATCCAAATTGTCAGCAATTCCATATGAGAAATGTGCAGTGCCACGCGTCATCATTTTTGGAGCAACAAAATGAAGTAAGTCTAATATTGATTCAGCAGTGTAAACTTTATATTCTGCTACAGCTTTAATACCACCAGGTCCCATGTCATGGTACTCTGTCCACACATCTCTACACGTAGTGTTTGCGACACTATGACCCTTTACAGCACCCTGAACATTAAAAGAGCAAATCACTTTAAAAATATCTCAGAATATTCAACATCACAATATCATATGATTTGACTTTCTAATGGAAAACACCCTTCAAAGTATAGCTATAGAAAGCATGATATTAACAGAACTATTAGCACAAAATATGTGTGTGAACATGGTTTCTAAAAATATTCAGGATATCCCATATATGTTATTCCAAAACTATATTTTATTTTTTAAGTTCAACATTAATACATCAGAAATTAACTGATTACCAACAGCAAGTAATTCATTTCACAATCAAGCATCCTGTCTAGGATGTTTTTTACATCCATATCTTGAACCCACAATTTCAAGGACTATTATGATGAAACAATTACTTGCTCTTTGAAAATTATCCGACAATTAAACTTCGCAGATTAGATACAATCAAAGGCCTTTTCTTTCTTTTTTAATTTTTAAGTTCAGGATATAGAGAGGTTACAATAAAACACAGCCTTACTCTGAAGTCAATCCTCTCAATCTCTGATGAAGGTGCCTCAGCCACTTCTTTCCCAAATGATATAATCCTTCCATAATTTGCACTCTTTGTTTGAGAAACTGCACTTTCGGGGCCAGCTTCCCTAACAATTTGGGTGTCATTGCTCTTTTCTCTTTTTCTGCTACAAACATAGCCATCCTCAGGTGACCAGTCAAGACCACCCCATATTGTGTCCCCACCCTTTGGTATCATTGACATGGTTGAATCCCATGTGCGGCTCATCTTCATCACATATTGCAAGGTTTGGAGGCTGAATTTATCATTCTCCAAAAAACCAGGTGCTATAGCCCTGCATTTTTCACGTTAGATTCTTAACCATTTGCTATAAAAAGACAAATTTACAGGTCTGAGCTTCAATACATTTAAGATTAGTAACACAGGAATAAATTTGTGAACCAAAACCCAGTTGCGCTGGTAGTTGACACCCATTTCAAAAATAAATATCCATAGGTACCCTGTCACAAAATATTCCAACAATAATTGTAGAAAGGTGGGAAGCACATATAACACTAACAACTAGAATGCATTTCCAGTTTACAATTTACCACCATGCAAAGATACTACTCTGAAAAGTACAATTTACCAATCTCAAAAGTGGGGAAAAAAGAATCATTAGATCATTGCTTGGTTGCCATGACCCATGACTAGACACAACTGAGAAACAGAGAAAGTAACTTGTTAATTACCTGGCAACTGCAATATCCTTCGCTTCGGCAGAGAAAAGCCCAGCAATAGCTTTGGGAACACCCAAAAATGGCCCACCAATGTTCATCACAGCCTTAATATGCTTAGCACACCAATCAGGTCCACCCCCACCACCCATTGGAGCTGGTGCTTCAACCCACTTCATAAAATGTAGAAAATATAGAACACCCATGGAGTGTGGAATAACAACTGCCCTTTTCCCACCATTGGTAGCTACCATCAGCTCAATATTACTTTTAATGTGGCTTAATGTCTGGTCTCTTACCTGAGTAATTAAAAGATATTAACATAATGCAAGAATCAACATAACACCATAATGATCATACTAAGGGCAAAATGAATTGACTTCCAATAATCTTTATAACCATATCAACTATAAAGAAACTCAAGTTATGGGAAAACTACCTCAGTGTTCTGAAATGAGAGTCTCCAATCATATGCAGCCATATACATGGTTTTCTCCTCATATCCAATGCGTGCCAGGTTAGCAATCAAAACTGCCCAGACAAAATAGCCTGGAGCAAAGTAATCAGCAGCCACAAGTCCAGTAACAGGCCTGATCCTTATACCGCTAGGATCCAATCCGGTTTCATTGTCTAATGACATGTGTTCCACCCAGCACAAAGGTCTGCAAAATATCCAACAACTCAGTGGAAGACCTACTAAGTATCCAAAAACTCTTAAGAGTTTGTAATTAAGGCACAACTCACGAAAAGAAATTCACAAGTCACAATCATGTGACAAGAACCACAAGCCAACCAAAGCACATTGGTCTACCAACACTAAATGGATTACTTCTACTGTTTTCAATTGTATTTCAAATTTATGATATAATAGCTATGCATTTTTTATGGATTGCAGAATACTCTTCCTCTAGATTATTTAAAGAATGATAATCCAAAGTTCTAAACAACCATATGGATAAGTAACCTCATCCCCATACTCTTTTTCCCCCCAGGATTGAAAAAAGAAAAGAAAACCAGAAAAGAAAAAGGCACAGTATACCAGAATCCATGAGTGATTGAATTGTCATTATAATAACACTGAGAATGAATGGGTATGTAGAAAACAAAAATGGTGCTGTCAATAAATGCTTGAATCTTAGCTAGATTTTTTTTTTTTTTTTCTTAAATCAGCAATCTTAGCTAGATATTGATGGTCGCTAGTTTTGTGTGGCTTATGGGTATGTCCTATTCATGTTGGTTTACAATGCAAAATACACTGAAGAAGAAGCTGTAAAGTATGTGATTCTCAAACATATCATTTACATGATGAACTTTATTCTTACCCTTGATTAAGGTCATTTTGTGTACGTTGTTTTCATGTAAAATCAGCCTTCTTTATTTAATTTGTAAGTTTAAGTGCCACAATCACAGAGTAAGGTTATCTATCCAATGAAAACACTTCTCTCCTTCACCATGCTATATAAACTTGAAATTTCCAGTCATATAATTTATATGGACAACTAAATGCTTACGTGCTGCACCCTGATACATACAACCTTCATGTTCTAATATGAAAACGAGGTCGAGCAAAGTTATCTACCCAGTGGACCAATTTGCTACTCAAAAAACTTTTAACATTGTCAAGATGAAAAAATTAGTCAGTTTAGGAAACAAATCTAGTTTGCTTCTAGACTAAATAAAAATACATGACCATTTGAAGTAAACCTCAGTATCAACCAGCAACTACTCCATCTGATACATATTACCAAAAGTGCAAGTGACTCAATAATCAGGGATTGTCAACTGTTGCCAATGACTACCAAAAAATAGAAGCTAGATAATAAAGATACTTAGTGGCATAATTAAAACTAATCACCTGATTAAAATAATTGGTCTAGTTATAACATACTCACCATAAATAACAATAAAACAATATGCTCAGTGCTCGCAATCAAAACAAGCTCAACAACATAAAAGTGATGACACTCTAGATCCAACATCAAATGACCTCAGATTCACACACTAAGCCTTCTATTGCAAGCATGAATACTATCCAATAAAAAAGAAGATGAATGATAACCAAAGCCCTTTATCCAAAACCATATAAAAAAATCAAAACAGTCCAGAACAAGTACTGATTCTTTACCTTTTGTAAACTTCGCCGAATGTGCCACCCCACAACCGTTTCCTAAACAACCCTTCAGCACACTGGTGCCCCTCCCACAACTCAAGCCCACCCGTCACAATTCCGGGCACAAACACCACCGGATGCTTCGCCGTCAGCCCCTCCTTCCTCAGTTTCTCTCCTGGCCGGTCTGGTAACGGCCCCGTTATTGCCTCAGTAACATACTGCGGAAACGAAGCCGGCATTGCGTTGTAGAGGAACAACAGTACCCACCATGTTACACATACGCAACCAATGAACCAACAGCAGGAATCCACACATGACCACCTGGGTTTCTCTTCAAGTTTCTTACTTTTCAACGGGGGCTTCTTGTTTTTGTCATCTTCATCCTCCTCCTCAGGTGTTCCTTTCTGGGGTTTTGAATCTGATGCCGGGGTTTTACTGGGTTCACTGGGTTTTCTTCTTCGAATCAAAGGCATCTCTTTTTCTCCAGTAAGTTTGAGATTTTGGTTAGATGACTGTTTCTTTCTGGGGAAATCAATTCATTTTCTCGAGAAAATGATGCACAAAACAGAATCTTTTTAGCTCCAAAAAACAAAACAGTTAAAAGCAAAGTAGATGAAAAAGATCGATTTGAAAAAGAGAATAAATTCTCTTCCGGTTGATTCAAAAGAAAAAGCAGGTACTATAAAGCTATCAAGCTATGGAGTTCAGAGTAGAGAAAAATCCAGCAGGAATACCGTTTGGTAAAAGCCTGAAAGTCAGAGACCGATTGGTGGACGTTTTTTTGTTGGAGTTTTGCCGACGAAGCTGAATCGATGTTGTGGCCGAAGTAGATCGGCCCTCTAACTTGGTCATTATTGTGGTTTTTGTCCCGAAACTTGCTTACGTTAACCATTCGAGTCCTTGAACAAGAAGTTTTGGTCGGGGGTAAGGTTCCCCCAACATTTTTCTTAGATTCTTTAAAGTTACTTTCTTATTTTTTACCTCTTAATATTTTAACAAAAAGATTGATAAAATTGATATATTTAAATTTTACTTTTTATTATATAATTTTCTATAAATAATTTTTTCTTCAAACATTTTTAAAAGAAAAAAAAACTTTTTTAACTCGACGTTCATTTGATATCTTTTCATAGCCTTTCTCTGTATATACATCTTGCCAAACACAGAAATGTTTACAATCTCAACAAAATTTCATTATAAATTTTACTAACTTTTTTGTATACTAATATAAACTAACTTTTAGTATGATATTTTTTGAATTACTCTTTTAGCAAATCATCACAAAATTTTATTATGCAATTTATTAATTTTTCATATAATACTTTTTAAAATTTTTTAATAAAATTGGTTTTTAACCAAATATGCCTAAAGTTGTAGGTTGTTAAATTGAGAATTAGACTAAAATGTATTTAATGTTATGAAAATCTAATCCTCTAGTTGAAGTGAGTAAGAATGGGGATGATACATTGATTTTGTTGCCAATAATGGATGATACATGATGGTCACAACTTGAGCAACCAAGAATAAAAACAAGACATTAAAATTAAGTAACAAGGCATGATGACATTAAGTATTTCATGTGAAAAAAACTTAGTCATTTAGAATGATGTTATTTTTATTATTTTTATTTGGACAGAAAGTTTTCTAGATCAATCTTAATGTATTTTGATCTAATATTTTTGTGAAAAATATTAAGAGTATGCATTTTTGCATTTCACTTTTTACCCAATACAATTTTTAAAATTAATTTTTAAATTTTAACTTTGTAACTAAAATCTTGATAACTAATCTACAAAACAATATTTCTACTCCTTGTAGCTAAATGAAAAACTAAATTTTGTTCTAATAAGGCATGACGATGAGAAGAATTGAGTGGCACACGTTAACTTTTGATCTTAATCGTTGGAAAGCTCAAGTACTGAAATGAACAAAACGAATGTTTATGTATCAAAACCTAAAGAAAAATTATGTTTGAGGGTTCATTACAGGATTACTTCTGCCAAAAAAAAAAAAAAAATAGACAGATGCTAGTATGAACTTATTTTAGAAAAGCCTCTCACCTTTGGAAACGTGGCGGGGAGTTATTGGAGTCTCAGCCGCTATCTCTGGAAATAGGAAGAAGGCAGGTTTATTTTAAGTAGCTTCTGGAAGCTATTTATTTATTATTTATTATGGGCCTCATTTGGTATTGCTGCAGTAGTGATAAAGTTTACTTTTTGTGTTTTATATTTAATAACAGTCCC